GGTTAATACGTTGTTGAAACTTGGTTAATGCAGTCACAGACTTCAAAACAAGGGAAATTGTTAAACCAGACTTGATTAATACATTGCAGTAAATTGGTTAATGGAAGTTTAACTTTGATTAATGCAGTCCCATACTTTAAAACAAGGGAAATTGTTAAAACAAACTTCGTTAATACATTGTTGGAACTGGTTAATGGAAGTTTAACTTGGTTAATGTAGTCCAAAACATCAAAATAAGGGAAATTGTTTAAAACAAGCTTGGTTAATACATTGCTGATACTTAGTTAATGAAATTTTAACTTGTTTAATGCAGTTACAGACTTCAAAATAAGGGAAATTGTTAACCTAAATTTGGTTCATACATTTTTGGAACGTGGTTAATGGAAGTTTAACTTGGTTAATGTGGTCCCATATTTCAAACTAAGGGAAGTTCTTAAACCACACTTGGTTAATACATTGCAGTAAATTAGTTTAATGGAAGTTTAACTTAGTTAATGCAGTCTCAGACTTCTAAACAAAAGAAATTGTTAAACCACAATGAATTATAACATACTCAACACATCAACAACATAATGAACTATGACATACTCAACATATTAACTACAAAATGAACTATATTATAAACGACATTGTGCATATAAACAAAACACAACCATAAATTGTCAATATTATGCCAAATTGTGCACTACAACACATCATAATTGTGCCAGATTCTACAATACATATTTATCAAATTCCTACAAAACTAATGAATTACAAATTCATTCTAGTTCTTTTTCCACGCTTTCTTGGTTTCTTCCTCATTCTTGTAGCCATGTTGGATTTAGACTTTGATTGGTTTTCTACAACATTGGTATCATTATTAAATGGAGTGTTATGTCCAACATATCCATCATAAGTCTCTACTTCATCTTTAGTGATAAAATTCACAAGATGTCAATCATCTTGAACATCCTCGTCCTGAAACGGGGTGTTAACTCTCGCCTTTTTCATCATCCTCATTTCATCCTTGAGAACTGATATCCTCTCTTTGAAATCTTTATTCTCTGCCACCAATCTTTGATAATCATTAACATCCATAAATCATTGTCCTTGTTCAAACAAAGCAGCATTGACTATGTCATATTTTAGTTCTTCCTCTGTTGCAACCACTCTATCAGTTATCTAACAAAAAAAGTCAAATTAAACACACGACAACAGAAAATCTAATTTTCTAAATTCAAACACACAAAACCTTACCATATTTTTGTCAAATACTTTTTCAATATTTTTCTTCTGCACACTTATAATCGGCCAATTCAATACACGTGGAAAAGAAAACCTAAAAACAACAGGTGTTTCCCCAAAGATAAGTGGTTGAATGTCCAAATTTACAACAAATATTAGAATATGTAAATTTAAAAATTTTAAATTTTCAAAACACGAGATGGAAATATAAAGTTATATAATTTATTTACCTACAATATGGCAGCAGACCTATTTAAATGTCTATGTGCCTTGTTTTTTCCCCTCATTCAACACAACAGAAGACTCACATAAACTAGAAACCACAAAGTTATAAACAGTAACTCCCTAACTATATGTATCAAGTGAATCCAAATCATCGAATTGCTTAATAAATCCTGTAAATACCTTATTCCATGTTTTGGGAAAATAAAACTCTACAAATGCAAGTAATATGTAAAGTCTAACAAAATGAACTAATTTTTTCTTATGGCAACAAAGTTGTTTGCGAATATTGTTAATTGTTACCTCAACCCCTTTAAATAGATCTAATATTTAACATTGTTGATCTTCTTCTACTACTATAGACTTGCCAATAAAAGACAATCTAATAACAAAATAAACATCAACTAGAGTAACGGGAACTATCATATCCCTAACCCTAAATCCTCTACTATGTACATCTCATCTACTCAATAACTCCCATAATAAACCACCTGATATTGAGAAGTTGTTAGAAATATCCATCGCCCATTTGAATGAGGTGCATTCGATGTGGACACATTGAGCCGGTGTTAACTTTTCATTGATGTTGCTCAAACTCACTAGGATACAACTATGCCTCATTCGTATCTTAAATTCACAGAAAAAACTTGATTAATTTTGTACACAGTCCAACAAGAATAACATATTTAGCAATAAAGCACTTTTACTTACTTGTGTTTCGTTTAAATGTTTTGATGATGCCATAGTTTCAGTAATAAAGCGCTCAACCTAATAACAAAACAAAACCATACACAAACACAATCATTACAACAACCTTGGGAGAGAAAACCTAAAATCTAATCCTCTTTCGATCTCCCCTTTTTGAACAACAGGTTCAACAAAAAATAAAGAGGAAAAGAACATCTAATCTTGAGAAAAAAGTTGTTTTGTTTGTTTAGTGTGAAGGTAGATAGAGTTTCGACTTTGAGGCACCGTGGACGGTGAGAGTCAGATAACTTCAAACAGTCGTGGATGGTGAGAACTTTGTGTTCGTGGACGGTGAGACAGTGAGAGCTTTAACGTCGTTTCAACTTTTCTTTTCACGTTGTTTGTGTTGATTGATAGAGAGGCGATTATATTTTAGTTAAGGCAAAACTATTGTCTAGGTCCTTTAAGTAATTTTAAAATATCAAGTTAGTCCCTTAAGTTTTTTTGTAATGCTTTGATCCTTTTTCAAAAATCTCCGTTATAATAAATTACAAACTCATATACCATTGAATGATTTTTCGCGCTGATCATGAATATGTAATTAGTTTTGCGTTTGATTGTGTATTTTGGTCGGATCGTTGATTTTTCATTATGTATTTCGTCCATTTTTACCTGATTCTCATGAACCGTAACTTGTTTGATAAATTTGATTGCATATTCATGATCAGTGCGAAAAACTAGTTCAAATGGTATATGAGCTTGAAATTTATTGTAACGGAGATTTTTAAAAAGGGAGCAAAGCGTTATAAAAAAAACTTAAGAGACTAATTTGATATTTTAAAATAACTTAAAGGACTAAACAGTAGTTTTAAGTTTAGTTAACCTAAAACCCAAATCCAAATGACCATATTGCCCTTATTAATTAAATGAACTACAACATGTGTCAGTAGTTTTGAACATTACCAATGACGTAGGTGTATGGTTTAGTGCAAACATATTATTTATGTTCTTGCAAGTATATGTATGGGTAAGATGGCATTTCATTGTATTTTATGTCCCACATCGTTTTTTTCAAAAAAAAAAACATTAGTGTTTATATATTGGAAGCAAACACAATAAGATATACAATTGTGGGTGGAATAATTGGCTTAGCTTAAAGTTCAAAATACTTTTTTAAATGAATTTATAAAAAATTTTAAATAAAATTATTAATTAATTAAAAATATTAAATAATAAATAATCATAGTTATTATTGTCAACTCATCAAAACAGTGTTTTTGTCTCAATTATCATTATCACGTAGGTAAAATTGGAGGGAACCATTAAAATTGCAAATAATGTAAAGTATAAGAATCAAAAAGTTAATTTTTAAAATAAAAGGACTAAAAATTTAAAAACATCAAAATAGCAATAAATGACTAAGTAACTTTAACCATAATTAATGACCTCTTTATATCTTTTGATCCAAGAGTTAAAGCAAATCAAATGGTAACTAACAAATCTCTTGGTGTGTCTTTGGATTGGGGTGAATCGATTTTGACATAATTGAATTTAGTAGCGTAATTGATTTATATTTAAAAGTGAATTGATCAACAAATTTCAATACAAAAGTTAATTTTAAATTTAAAAATTACAAATTCTAATTTTAAGTAAAATCAATTGTGAAAGCATAATCAATTTTCATTAAAACATTAATATTTAGTTTCCTATCATATTATTTGCTTTTTTTTTTCAATTCTTTCAATTCATCTTTTCAATGTTATTAATAGTATAAATTTATAATTTTTCTACAATTTTTCTTACCAAATAAAATTAATTACATTCCTTAACCCAGGTGAAATGACCAAAACATCTATAAATTGAGATAGAGGGAATAAGACTTAAATATATTTTTCCATCAAGTATTTAAACATTATTCTAATTATCAGTTAGAATTTTTTTTACCCATAAAAAAAGGTAATAACCATTAAAAATTCACACATATAACTGCGAATTTCGTAAATGGATTCTTAACAATAACGTCAAACTTAACATAATTGATATTTATCAATTGAGGTGGAATTTGTGAACAAAACAAAAATTTTATTGTTGTAATTGAGGTGGGATTTGTGAACAAAATTAAAATTTATTGTTGTAATTTATTAAGTGATTGTGACTATTTTTTAGTTTAAAGTGATTGATTTTATTTAAATGAGAGTTAAAATTAAAAGTATATTATTATTTTTGTATTAAAGTGTTGAAAGTTATTTTTGTTACCGGTAATAAATTTTATTTTTATTTTGTATTTAAATAGCCTAACCAATTTTTGAAAATCACTTATATATTCATATAGTAAGTTTGTCCTTCAAAAAGATATAGGATGGGAAAGACCTGCTGACATTGCACTTCTAAAACTCAGTAGCTTTAGTGCTGTTTTCAGACAATGAAACATTTGAGAATGCCATATTCAAAGCTCTTTTCTAATGAATTTCTTCTGGTTTCTACAAAATTATATTGTGTTGAAGAAGCATTGAGTTATAAGCGAATGGTCTTTAATCGTGAATCTATTCAAGTCAGTAGCCAAGACAATATTCAAGAAGCTTTCACTGCAATCAGTTAACTCATTGTACCATTTGGATTCCTAAAACAAATCAAAAGGTAACCCCCAAATCTCTTAGTCCACCACTTAACACACATCACTTTCTCTTATTTTATCCAAGTAGGTTTGCATAACAACTTTAAAATATGCAGCAGATAGCAGTTTATATAAAATAAAATGAAAAAAAGATAAGAAGATATGTGGTAAATATAATTCATAGATGTAAAGTATCCTCATTCTTTAGGTAAAAATAATGACATTGTGAGAAAAAGATTGAGAAATAAATCTAGCTGGCTGTGAATCTATAAACCATGATATGCTTGTAAGTCTCTCCAGGCTTCACAATCTGAGATGGAAAGTTAGGCAAATTCACTGAATTTGGGTAACCCTGTGTCTCCAAAGCAATGCCACCATATTTGTGATAAGTAGCTCCATTCTTTCCTTTAGTATCACCCAACATACCACTGGTATAGTATTGCAACCCAACTTGGTTTGACCACAACTCCATTTTCCTCCCTGAGACAGGATCTCTCACCACAACATTTTTGCTCAAATGATTTTGACCACTTGTGTCCAATGCGTAGTTAATGTCGTATAAACCAGGAAGATCGTTAATTCGACTTCCAACTTCTTTTGGTGTAAGGAAATCATATGGCGTGTTGGCCACGGGCTGGAGTTTGCCTGTTGGGATGAGTTTATCGTCTACTGGAGTGATGTTTGAACCAAAGATTTGAACAGTGTGTGATAGAATATCGCCGCTGTCGTGTCCTCTTAAGTTCCAGTATGCATGTTGTGCTAGATTCACGGGTGTCGGTTTGTCTATCGGCGTGGCAGTCATTTTCACACCCAATATGCGTTTTTCAAGTAACATGTAAGTCACTCTAACCTCAACCTTTCCAGGGAAACCTGTCAAGTTTTCACAAAGAAAATCATACAATAATGTAGATGCAGCAACATAAAAACCTTAATATCACATTGCAAATTGCATTCAAGATCCTTTAGAAAAACTTTGTGAATAATCAAATTACCAACCTTGTTCGCCATCGGAACTGTTGTAGGCAAATGTGATATGACTGTCTTTCTTGTGATAATCTACTGTCCATACATTATCACCGAACCCTTTCGTGCCACCTGCAATTTCATCACTCAATAATAATCAATCAGAAAATCTAAATAATAACAAATCATTGCAAGCATTGAATAAGAAATCAATATCAGAAACTTACCGTGGAGTGTGTTTCCGTGATCATTTGCCGGCAACGTGTATGTTTTACCATCCAAAGTGAATTTAGCTCCTCCAATCCTATTAGCCACACGCCCAATAACAGCACCGAAGTAACATGTATCGGTCTGCAATAAATTTCAACCTTTCATGTATTAATCTCAACAAATGACATATTCCTATAACATAAACACATTACAGATTTTTGATAACTTTTCATCAAACATCATGGATGCATAACTTTTTTTGTTAAAAATCATAACCTAAATCAGGTAAAACAAAAAAACAATGAATGATCATACCTCGTAGGACTCAATGGAATCATAACCAAGAACAATATCAGCTAACTTTCCTGTAAAATTGAATCAAAAACAAAATGTTAATGTATAAGATTAGATCAAGGATAACTCAGATTCAAAATTGAAATCAAACAAAACAAAAACAAACCATGTTTATCAGGTGCAAAAAGAGACACAATTGAAGCACCATAGTTTGTCAAATTAAGCCTCAAATCTCCTCTCTCTAATTCATAAAATTCAATTTTTTTATTATCTTTTGCATGAACAAGAGCCAAAAGGCCCAAGAAAAAACAAAACAATAAGGATACTTTACACATTATTGCAAAATGTTTCTCACACTTTCACAACAATGATGAAACACAAACAATAGAAACAGAGATATATAGGGGGAAATGGGACCCATAAAATTCGGATTGAATTCCAAATTTGCCTTTAATGTTATTTTTGGATAAGATTTGGAGTTTTGTAAGGAAAGTTGTTATGGCATATGCGTCATTGCCACACGTACAACTTGGTTGAAATCTTCGTTTAAGGATAAAGAATAATTTTAAGATTTTTACCTTTTGTGTTTCTAAAACTAGTTATTCTCCTTTGATTTAACGCTAATCATTTGATAGAATATCTAATACCTAAAATAGACATATTTTTCAAGCTGCTATTACATTTATATTGGTGCATGTGACATGTTTTATTTATAGATATCTATAGGTATCAAGACATTTTGGTCATCCATATCTATGAGATTAAGCTCTTGTCAACAGAGTATAACTTAAATATTATCTATCTTATTAATTATAATTAAATGTATTCTTCATCTCCTATTTTATCTAAAATATATTTTTAATCACTTAATATCAAAATAAACAGATCTTGGGATTATTTTGTATAGGATGTAAGCATACCAGAAAAATCAATTAAATTAACAATTTAAACCAAATTAAACCGAAAAAAAATCAATTTTTTTGGTTTGACTCAAAAACGAACTAACTCAATAAAATATATTTGTGCATTTTGAATCATATAATTATATTTGCGTCAACCCAAAAGATTAAAGATGATGCAATGTTTAATGATTTTGAACTCAAAAGACGAAGAAAAATCAAAATATCATTGCAGTTTTATCGTAAAATATTGAAAAATAAACTTATTATTATTTTAGATTAATATAACTAAATTCAAAATTACATTGCTTATTTCATGTATCTCGTTAAATTTTATTATAAAAGTTATATATAACTTTAATATATTTTGATAATATCTTTAATTTTTCATATATATTAAAAATATTTTGTATGATTTTATTAATATATTTATTTTTACCAAATAAAAAATATTTTAATAATATAATGAAACTACTAATTTTTTTAATTAAGAATGTCATTTTATATCATTTTGTATTTATCAGCTAGTGTATCAGCTAATTTACGGAACACTCCAATTAACTTATCAGCTATCAGTTATCAACTATCAGCTACCGACTATTAGCTATGAACTACAAGCTATATGCTATCGGTCATCAACTAACTGTATCAACTAGTTTTACCAAACAGAGTCTTAGTACATATAAAAAAAACGCCCATTGTTGGGGCATTATGTGTTTAATCTTAATTTCTTACCTAAACTACTATATAGATATTTTGCACTTTAAAGATATTGTGGTATTCACTATATTCTATTTTCGAATCATGTCCTTTGATTTCGAATCTTGGTGGTTCACTGACATAGACTTCTTCTTCTAGAATCCATTCAAAAATGATGATTTTACATCCAATTGATGTATCTTCCACCTTCTTTATGCTGGATGTCGACACAACAATTCTGATTGTCTCCAGCCTTGTAGCAGGTGCGTAGATTTCGTCGAAATCAATACCAGGTTTTTTCATAAAACCTCCCACCACTAGTTTTGCCTTATACTTGAAAATTTCTCCATTAGGCCTTTGTTTCAGATTGTAAACCTACTTCACATTAATTAGCTTCTTGACTGACTTTTCGACAAGCTCCCAGCTATTGTTCTTATCGATTGACCTCAGTTCTTCTTTCAGGGTTGCTAACCAATTCGAATCATTCATGGCTTGATCCAAGTAGATTGGTTTTGCCTCAGCCATCATCAATGCTTCTTCTATTAAGTCACCATTTGCATCGACTGCTTGATTTGAAAATGTTTCATATGCAGCTAGCCTTGTCGACCCAGTTCTTGTTCTAGTCGATCTTCTAACATTTTTCTCAAGTGGTTCCTCATTTCGATTTGTTGGGACTTTAGTTTGTTGTTCTTCTTCAAACACAATTGTAATTGTAGATCTAATGTTTGACATTAATCTTCTTCTACTACTAGAGACTTACCAATAAAAGACAATCCAATAACAAAAGAAATATCAACTGGAGTAAAGGGAACTATCATATCCCTAACCTTAAATCCCATACTATGCAAATCTCATCTACTTAATAACTCTCATAATAAACCACCTGAGATTGAGAAGTTGTTAGAAATATTCATCGCCCATTTGAATAAGGTACATTCGATGTGGACACGTTGATCTGGTGTTAACTTTTCATTGATGCTGCTCAAATTCACTAGGATACAGCTACGCCTCATTCGTATCTTAAATTCACAGAAAAAAACTTGATTAATTTTATACACAGTCCAACAAGAATAACAGATTCAGCAATAAAGCATTTTTACTTACTTATGTTTCGTTTAAATGTTTTGATGATGCCATAGTTTCAGCAATAAAGCGCTCAACCTAATAACAAAACAAAACCATACACAAACACAATCATTACAACAACGTTGGGAGAGAAACCCTAAAATCTAATCCTTTTTCGATCTCCCTTTTTCGAACAACGGATTCAATATAAAATGTAAGTGCTCTTGATTGGCTGCATTTTGTGGCAAAACTTTATAATGTGCATGTATGTCATACTAATTGTTAGGACATACTTAATGATGTGTGTGCAGGGAAAGTTAACTTGTAGTTAACTTACCCTGCACACACATCATTAAGTATGTCCTAACAATTAGTATGACATACATGCACATTATAAAGTTTTGCCACAAAATGCAGCCAATCAAGAGCACTTACAAACTCCCCCTTTGGCAAATTTTTGGCTAAAACAACCTGTTAGCATATTAGAGTTTACACACAGCAGAAGACTTATGATGTGTCCTGTCATGCAGGATAGTTGCTAGCTCAAACTCCTCTGAGTCCTCACAGATAGCTCTCACTGTTAAAACTCACTTTGTCAACTATCTGTAGACTACTACTACAGATGTCACCCTATGCTAAGTGAGTAACAGAGTGACTCCCCCTCAACTGATGCACTTTATCAGTTGAACACTTCACCTGCAAACAGCCTGCAGTCACACATATTCATCCAGCCTGCTCTGGATGTTATGACCTTCAGGATAACATCCTGTAGTACACACACTTATGCTACTCCCCCTGAAGGGATGCATTATGCATACTACTCACTCCTGCACATTTCAGCAGTACCTGTGAACATGCAAGAATACTATCATATGCACTATGGTACATATGCTCTAGTTAGTCTTCAACCTGCTTCAACCTGTTCTCCCACCCACCTGTTGTTTTCTATCACATCTATCTCTCCCCCTTTTTAGCCATAAATTAAGATCCAACTAACATATATCATAGATCAGAAAGTGTACCAATATATATGTTTGGGGTTACATTACAAAACTGCTCATAGAGAGCATCACAAAACATTCATGCTTGAGAAAAGAAAAATTGACCAGCAGCACACTTCATCACCTCAGCAGCAGTCTGAGGCACATAATCAATTCTCAATTTTCTTCACTAGAGGAAGAACTGGAGTCACTGCTATCCAAATCTGAGAGAGAGATGTCTTGGTTTCCATCATACGAGTCTTCTTCTGGAAGATCCTCATCTGGACCCCGGCGAGCCAGGGGCACGGTGAAGCCCTTAACAAGCAATCCTTTCCTGATGATATTGTCAACAATTTCCCCTATGGATTTATTCACGTAAGTTGTGCCTTCCCTGGTCATAATTCTCCTAAGTTCTTCTTCAGTGGGAGAGGGATACTTGCGGTTTGGTTTCTCAGCCGAGGGAGGTGTATCTTTGGTGAATTTGGGAGGGGACTTAGACGAAGATCCTTCATGATGAGAGGCCATGTTGTTGTCGAGACTGAGGGTCTGGAAGAGATGTTGAACGATAATGAGGGCAGAGAAGCACGTTTATGTGGAATGGAGATTTTTGTTGTTTAAAGACTTTGACTGCATTGAAAACCTAAAACTCTCACGGGCCGTTAATTGCTATGCATCCTCATACATACAGATACCCAACTTCCCTCTAAGATTTTCAAATTGGGCAGCATCTAGAGCCTTTGTAAGGATGTTAGCTAGCTGTAGCTCAGTGGACACATGCTCCAAGGAAATCACTTTGTCTTCCACAAGGTCTCTTATGAAGTGATGCCTTATATCAATGTGCTTGGTTCTGCTGTGTTGGATCGGGTTTTTGGAAATGTTAATAGCACTAAGATTGTCACAGTACAATGTCATGACATCCTGAGTGACATTGTATTCAGTTAACATTTGCTTCATCCAGACCAGCTGAGAACATTCACCGTGTGCTGGTCAGAATTTACATAAAATAAAGAGGAAAATAACATCTAACCTTGAGAGATAAGTTGTTTTGTTCATTCGCTGTGAAGTTAGATAGAGTTTCAACTTCGCGACACCGTGGACGGTGAGACAGTGAGATAACTTCAAGTAGCCATGGACAGTGAGAACTTTGTCTTTGTGGACGGTGAGACAGTGAGAGATTTAACGTCGTTTCAACTTTTCTTTTCACGTTGTTTGTGTTGACTGATAGAGAGGCAATTATATTTTAATTAACCTAAAACCCAAATCCAAATGACCATATTGCCCTTATTAATTAAATGAATTACAACATGTGCCAGTAGTTTTGAACAGTACCAACGATGTAGGTGTATGGTTCAGTGCAAACATATTACTTATGTTCTTGCAAGTATATGTTTGGGTAAGATGGCATATCATTGTATTTTATGTCCCACATCGTTTTCTTCAAAGAAAACATTAGTGTTTATATATTGAAAACAAACACAATAAGATATACAATTATGGGTGGAATAATTGGGCTTAGCTTAAAGTTCAAAATACTTTATGTCCCAATTATTATTGTCACGTATTTAAATCGCAATTGTGGGTGGAATAATTGGGTAAGATGGAATAATTAGGTAAGATGGCATATCATTGTATTTTATGTCCCAAGTATTATTGTCACGTATGCAAAATTAGGGGAGGGGGCATTAAAATCGCAAATGATGTAAAGTATATGAACCAAAAAGTTGATTTTTAAAATGAAAAGACTAAAAATTAAAAAACATCAAAGTAGAGAACCAAAAGTGCAATAAAAGATGAAGACAACTTTAACGATAATTTATTACCTCTTTATATATTTTGATCCAAGAGTTAAAACAAATCAAATGGTAACCAACATATCTCTTGGTGTGTCTTTGGATTGGGCGTGAATCGATTGCCATGTATGCAAAATTAGAGGGGAACCATTAAAATCACAAATGATATAAAGTATAGGAATCAAAAAATCAATTTTTAAAATAAAAAGACTAAAAATTAAAAAAACATCAAAGAAGAGAACCAAAAATGCAATAAAAGACTAAGATAACTTTAACCATAATTAGTTACCTCTTTATATCTTTTGATCCAAGAGTTAAAACAAATCAAATGGTAACCAACATCTCTTTTGGTGTGTCTTTGGATTGGGCATGAATCGATTTTAACATAATTGAATTTAGTAGCGTAATTGATTTATATTTGGATACATTTATCTAAAAATGAGTTGATCAATAAATTTTAATATAAAAATTAATTTTAAATTTAAAAGTTACAAATTCTAATTTTAAGTAAAATCAATTGTGAAAGCACAATCAATTCTATTTTTAAAAAACCCAAACACTTCAAAATCAAAAATCAATTTTACAATTTCATTAAAACATTAATATTTAGTTTTCTATCATATTATTTGCTTTTCTTTTTCAATTCTTTCAATTCATCTTTTCAATGTTATTAATAGTATAATTTTATAATTTTTCTACAATTTTTCTTCCTCAAATAAAATTAATTACATTCATTAATACAGGTGAAATGACCAAAACATTTATAAATTGAGATAGAGGGAATAAGACTTAAATATTTTTTTTTATCACGTATTTAAACATTATTCTATTTATTACTTAGGATTCTTTTTACCCATAAAAAATGGTAATAACCATTAAAATTTCACACACATACAACATTGAATTTAGTGAATGGATTTTTAGCAATGACGTCAAACTTAACAATGTTGATATTTATCATTGAGGTAAAATCTGTGAACAAAATTAAAATGTTTTATTGTTGTACTTTATTAGAGCATCTTTAATAGAAGTAAATTAAATAGGTAAATTAAGATATTTTTGTGGGTCCAAAGTGTTTTGTATGATTTAAAAATTTTATAGTTGATTTGAGTAGTTTTTACTTTAACGATTGTTGTATATAAGAAACCAAAACTTAACCCCACTATTTTCAAATATCATGTCATTACTTTAATGCTGTTGTAATATTTTATTAATTAAATAAATAATATTATAATATATTTCACATAGTTAACGTTAACTATATAGATAATGAGAACTAAATTTTAGTTCACTTAGATGTCATGTCAGCTCTACTATAATGCAAATTTTTTATTACTAATGTAAGCTATACAAAATTTTGGTTTAACAACCCTGCACTAAAGTTGCTCTTAAGTGATTGTCACTATTTTTTTAGTATAAAGTGATTGTAATATTCTGTAATTTTATTTAAATGAGAGTCAAAAATAAAAGTTTTTATTTAAGTGTTGAAAAACATATTTGTTACCGGTAACAACTTTATTTTTATTTTGTATTTAAGTAGTCTAAACCAATTTTTGAAAAGCACTTATATATTCACCTATTATATTATATAGAGATGACAAACGGAAACTGACCGCCATAGCCTAGGGTGAGGCACTACAATTTTGACATGTCTTTCAAAAAGATGAGGATGGGATCCGCTGACATTGCACTTTTAAAATTTAATAGTTTTAGGGGTGTTTTCAGACAATGATACATTTGAGATTGTCATATTCAAAGCTCTTTTCTAATGAATTCATTTGTTGATGAATATCTTCTAGTATCTACAAAACTATATTGTACTAAAGAAGCACTAAGTTATAAGAAAATGGTCGTGAATCTAATCAAGTTATATGAAAATAAGAGAAGAAAAAAGAAAATCAAATAAGAGTTTGATCATTTTCTTTCATGTTAATACTCATTTCTTTCGTCTAATCATAATCCTGTTAAATTGCATACGGAGGTTGTATGACGACTTTAAAACATGAAGATATGAAATTTCACGCAGACGATAACACTTGATATAAATATAAATAAAAAAGATAGGAAGATATGTGATAAATATAATTAATAGATGTAAAGTATCCTTATTGTTTAGGTAAAAATAATAACATTGTAAATCATGTGAAAATGTGAGAAAAAGATTGAGAAATAAATCTAGCTGGCTGTGAATCTATAAACCATGATATGCTTGTAAGTCTCTCCAGGCTTTACAATCTGAGATGGAAAGTTAGGCAAATTCACTGAATTGGGGTAACCCTGTGTCTCCAAAGCAATGCCAGCATATTTGTGATAAGTAGCTCCATTCTTTCCTTTAGTATCACCCAACATACCACTGGTATAGTATTGCAACCCAACTTGGTTTGACCACAACTCCATTTTCCTCCCTGAGACAGGATCTCTCACCACAACATTTTTGCTCAAATGATTTTGACCACTCGTGTCCAATGCGTAGTTAATATCGTATAAACCAGGAAGATCGTTAATTCGACTTCCAACTTCTTTTGGGGTAAGGAAATCATATGGCGTGTTGGCCACAGGCTGGAGTTTGCCGGTTGGGATGAGTTTATCGTCTACTGGAGTGATGTTTGAACCAAAGATTTGAACAGTGTGTGATAGAATATCACCGCTGTCGTGTCCTCTTAGGTTCCAGTATGCATGTTGTGCTAGATTCACGGGTGTCGGTTTGTCTATCGGCGTGGCAGTCATTTTCACACCCAATATGCGCTTTTCAAGTAACATGTAAGTCACTCTAACCTCAACCTTTCCAGGGAAACCTGTCAAGTTTTCACAAAGAAAATCATACAATAATGTAGATGCAGCAACATAAAAACCTTAATATCACATTGCAAATTGCATTCAAGATCCTTTAGAAAAACTTTGTGAATAATCAAATTACCGACCTTGTTCGCCATCGGAACTGTTGTAGGCAAATGTGATATGACTGTCTTCCTTGTGATAATCTACTGTCCATACGTTATCACCGAACCCTTTCGTGCCACCTGCAATTTCATCACTCAATAATAATCAATCAGAAAATCTAAATAATAATGAATCATTGAAAGTATTGAATAAGAAATCAATATCAGAAACTCACCGTGGAGTGTGTTTCCGTGATCATTTGCCGGCAACGTGTATGTTTTACCATCCAAAGTGAATTTAGCTCCTCCAATCCTATTAGCCACACGCCCAATAACAGCACCGAAGTAACATGTATCGGTCTGCAAAAAATTTCATCCTTTCATGCATTAATCTCAACAAATGATATATTTTTATAACACAAACACATTACAGATTTTTGATAGGTTTTCGTCAAACATCATGATGCATTTTCTTTGTTAAAAATCATAACCTAAATCAGTTAAAACAAAAAATAATGAATCGATAATACCTCATAGGACTCAATGGAATCATAGCCAAGAACAATATCGGCTAACTTTCCTGTAAAATTGAATCAAAAAGAAAATGTTAGTGTATGAGGTTAGAGCAAAGATAATTCAGATTCAGAATTAAAACTAAACTAAACAAACCATACCATATTTATCAGGCACAAAAAGAGACACAATTGAAGCACCATAGTTTGTCAAATTAAGCCTCAAATCTCCTCTCTTTAATTCATAAAATTCAATTTTTTTATTTTCTTTTGCATGAACAAAAGCCAGAAGGCCCAAGAAAAAACAAAACAATAAGGATACTTTACACATTATTGCAAAATGTTTCTCACACTTTCACAACAATGATGAAACACAAACAATAGAAACAGAGATATATAGGGGGAAATGGGACCCATAAAATTCGGATTGAATTCCAAATTTGCCTTTACTGTTATTTTTGGATAAGTTTTGGGAATTTTTTTCCAACATGCCCTATTATTAATCCCTTTTTTTCAATATGTCATATAAGTCAACCATATATACTATCATTGTTCCAAACAAAAAATTTGGACAAGTAGGCACTGCCGCCCAAAGAAAGGACAAAACTATTTAAAAATCATTTCTACCGCCCATTAAAAGAGTGACATTGTTAAAGTTGTTTTTTGTTTTTTGTTTGTTTTTTCATGATATATATATATATATATATATATATATATATATATATATATATATATATATATATATATATATATATATATATATATATATATATATATATATATATATATATATATATATATATATATATATATATATATATATATATATATATATATATATATATATATATATATATATATAATGTTAATATTGATACAATCAATTAAGATATAATAATATTAATATATTTTAAATATTAATATTAATACAATTATAATATTAATATATATTAGTTAATATTGTTAATATTAATATATGTAAATATTGTTTAGTAAGAGATAATTATGCTAATATAAAAATAGTATATTAACAACTAATTTTATTATTAATATATTTATAATTAATATTACTCTTTACTGTAATTAACAATAAATAAACGAGTATTAATAATAAATTTTTATTTATTTATTTAATGCCCTGCCGACACTAAAATGGGGAGAATCCTTGACTATTTTATTATTTATGTACAGTGTCGGCACCTGAATGAGTGAAACCTTTTAATATTTTAATATTTTTGTATAGTGTCGGCAACTAAATGGGCGGAACCTTTTAATATTTTATTATTTTTGTACAGTGTCGGCACCTAAATAGGCAGAACCTTTTAATATTTTAATATTTTTGTACAATCTCGCCACTGATATAAATAGGGGTGTGGTGTGACATATTTTTCACATATGCTTTAAATTCCTTATATTGTTTTGAAGATGTATTTTAGCCGCTAGGGAAAAGTAATTTTTTCGAGAGAAAAATCGGCTATGGATATGCTTTTTTAGAACATGTGTAGTTCAGAGCAACTACATAGGGAGTTGAAGTGTTGGTTAGAAGGAGACAGGAAAAAATTAGAAGTATTAAGAGGTATGATGCCCGACGTGGGTGGGTGCGAGTCAAGAATGATAAGGAAGTCAGGGAAATGATGTTTAGGCAAAATGAAATCAGACTGCTAATTGTAATCAGTTAGAGAAATTGTACTAAATGTTATGTTAAATGTTGCTTCTTAGTATTTTTATCTATGTTGATTTATGTATGTGTTGTGTCATTTAATGAAGCATAAAGTTGTGTGGTTTGTACTAGAAGTTTGATATTAATCTGAAAAAAATACATGATAATTAATGAAAACACTAACGATTATTTGTTCCCACATTGGAACACCGGATTCGATTGTGGCCCGTTTGACCACACATGGAACATTTTCTCTCAAGCTTATCAAAGTTATCCATTTCCGTTCTAATACGTGTGCTCACTGGGCGACCTTTCTTGTTCCTCCACATTCTTGGGTTATGGAAAATTTGATCTCTTTCATAAACGGGTCAATATTCATCGTAAGGCAGCACTGGAAAAGCTTGTGCTGTAAACCCCAAACAAGTTTGTAACCCTATAAGCGTCGAACAAAAGAGCGTAAGCATCGTGTCACACATTAGAACATGCAGCGATAACATGTGAGCAAGGGACACGGTATGCTTGAAACTTTCCGCAGTCGCACCACCCGTTTAGGAGGTTGACCTTATAATGTCCCACAGGCTTCTCCTCACCATGGTCCATTGTCTCCTTAATACTGAAAATATTATTAGTGTAGTCAAAAATTCTGACTTGATATGTGCTGGATTTTGTTGTTTCTTCTTTCATCACCTTGAGGCAGTTGTCTGTAAATTTCTGGCCAGAATTCAACACAACACTCCACTTTGCACCCCTTTCAGCAAATAATGATCCTAGATTATAATATGTTGCACTTGCCAATGTTGTAATGAGAAAATTATATGTGCCTTTAAAGACATCATTCAATGAATTAACAAGGTTGGTAGTCATGTGACCCCAACGTCGACCCCCGTCAAATGCCCTCATCCATTTTTCGGCTGGAATATTGTCAAGCCACCTCAAAGCATCAGCATTTGTCATACCAACTCAGACCGGTAGTAATGAAATGTTGGTTGGTTTAAAGCATACCCTACATAAAAAAAATTATAATATCAACAATGGACAAAAATATGATATATGTTATCAAATATACTTATCCATGTTAATGACTTTTTTCCGTAGGTTCCTGTCATTGGTTTCTCTCATAAAATTATGTGCAATGTGTCAGATACAATAAATATGCACCGATGGGGGATTATGTCAACCATTTCTAGATTGTTGTATGCACTTTCAATTGATGCATGTCGGTCTGAAATCAAACATAGGTCTGGTTGTGGCGCAACATGCCTCCTTAAGTTTCGCAGGAAAAAACCCCAACCTTCAGTCGTTTCACCTTCCACAAGGGAAAAAGCAACTGGGAAAATATTGGTGATGCCATATTATACCACCGCCATAACTAGTGTGCCCTTGTACTTACCGTATAACTAGGTTCCATCAATTTGAAGTATAGATTTGCAATACGCAAAACCTATGATGCATGGTTGGAATGCCCAGGATAGCCAGTGGAAGATGTGTTTCCCTTCAACAATTGTCCCGTCATCTGTATACATTGTTAGTGTTTCTATTTCCAGCACAGTTCTCGAAACAAATTTTTTAAGTGCTAACAAGAAATGTGGAAGTTCATTGTATGAGTTCTCACAGTTACCGTATACCTGTTCAATTGCTTTGTTCCTTGCAATCCATGTCTTTTTGTAAGATGAAGTAAAATTGTATTCAGAAACAATTTTACTTATGCAAACATTAACCTTAGTAGAAGGATCATTGTCTACAAATGGCATTAATACCTGAGACATTAGCTGAGAGGTTAGTTTTCGATGATCCTGGTTAAACATAGTTGTTTAACAACTATGTGGGAGGGGGTTCATAATACCTATCTCCCACAAGTCATTTCTTTTTCGGTAAGACGCCAATAGACGAAACTTGCAGGAATCATTTTTACAACAAATTATGTATCTCTTCTTATCGGAATCTGTCACCTTATAATCCACGCAATGTTTCATGTGATATTGCTTAATGGCAAGCACAAAGTCAGCTTTATTTTTAAATTGGTTACCAACTTTTATGTTACCCTCCATTGGAATATGAGGATTTCGTGGCCATTCAAATGATGTTCCTTCTACATTTAGGGGTAGGTTAGTCATATGGGCAGGTGGGCAGAATACATTCCTAATTGGAATGTGTTGTTCATCTCTGTTGACTTCGTTAACATTGTTTCCTTCCTCAAACAAAGTAGTATATAAATCATCAACATGTGCCTCATTTTCTTCTTCGACGTCTTCTTCTTCTTCAACATCTTCGTGTGGAATTATGGTTGGCGTTTCCTCTACGGATGCATTGATGACCTGGGAAACTTGAGTTTCTTGACATTGTTCAAATGTTATATATAAATCAATGTACGGAAACCCAGAACATACATGATTCGAGAACATCGTTTCAACATCCTCGTCGTCACAAACCCTTAATGGAACAAATTTAAATTGATTGTTCGCGAAATGGACAGCATTTCTGTACATAATCTATGTAACCAATCCTGCTTGGACCTTCATCTCTACCCTATCTTTAAAATGTTGAAATGACGATCTTCTATTAACACTGAAACAACTAATGTCAATATTTTTAAAAGTCAAACCCACTTCATCAGATACAATAACACTCCCGTTGTAATGGGCATTAACAATATATTTAGGAATGATGGACATTATATAAGAATATGTGATAGAAATAATTGGTGTTTGTGTAGAACATGCAAGAAGAAATGATATGAAAATGTTTGAAGATGATGAAAAAATCATGAGAGCTAGTACTAGTTATAAAGGAAATGATATCAATTTTAGCATTTTCCTAACACTCATGCATGAATTCCGTACGTGACTTCTGGTCAACATATCAATTGAACATTCTCGCCCTTTCAATGGGCAGAAGAGACAAAAATTAAAAGCAGCCGCCCATTCAATGTTCGGCATGCCTGAAAAGCTGCTACATGGAATAACTCTGCCGCCCATTTAGTCCCTGATTGTTAGACACATTTGTTCATTGCCGCTCATTCAAAGCCCGGGTGTCAGAAACGCATAAAGTTGTCGCCCATTCAAAAGGCAGTAGTCAACAACAATAAATTCTTTTCATGCATGCAAGAAACACGTAATAGCATCTAGCATATCATCTTCAATTCTTCACATTAATTCACATTAATTTCTTACCTACATTTTTTCATATTAATTATCCTCATCTCTTATAAATACTCTATCATTTCTATTATACAATTCATCTCAACACAAAAAAACATCTACCAATCTTATAAAATTCTCTACTACCACTCTTACAAAATGGTTTTGTTAACATTAGGAGAAGATCATCGAAGCACACTTGCAAACATTGCATCATATGTAAGTTTACCTTATTTATAATGTTTATAATGTTACTTGTTAAAATGTTATAATGTTATTTATAATGTTAAAATGTTATATTGTTATTTATAATGTTAAAATTCTATAATGTTATTTAAAATGTTTATAAGTTTATAAATTTTATTTACCTTATTTATAATTATATTTATAATGTTATATAATTATATTTATAATCTTATAATGTTATTTATAATATTTATAATTATGTTTATAATGTTACGTATTTATAATATTTATAATTATATTTATAATGTTATATACTTTATTTATAATGTTACTTGTCAAAATGTTATA